ATATATATATATATATATATATATATATATATATATATATATATATATACAAGGATTTGAGAGGTAACTACGGAATATTGGAATCAGATGTCAATCGAGGCAGAGATCATACAAACTTGGGCTGCCTCCCAAGGTTGAAAGTAGAGAATTGTGACTGAGGATGAGAGGACGGCTGAGGGATTTGCACTCGCTACAGTCAGACTCTCTCCAGAAGCGTTTGTGGCCACAGCAGGCGCCAACTCACAACTGGCCAGAAGTTCCTGTACAAACCAAGGAAAAGTGGGCGGTCCGTAGAAGATGAAATTCCGTGCACCACGTATTTTGCGTCTAAAAGATGCAATTACAGCATGAGGCATTTAGATACTTTTTTTCTTCTTAAAATAAAGTGTTTGCCTCCAGATTCCCCAATTATTTATGATACCTAATCATGCCAACTTCAAGGCTAATACTACGACCTCCGTGAGGTTTGCAACGATTAATTCTCCGGAATGATCTCATAGTATTTCCTCCATTGGTTAATTCTAATTGGGATAGTCAAACTCCTGCCACGAGGAGGATGAGGCTATAAAGCCACATAACAAACGATCTGTTTAGATTTTCGAGGCAGTCGTGAAGTCACAGAAAAGTGAGAATTCACTTGACTCCTTATTCTTTAATTTTTCATTCAGCCTGATTCTGCTTCAAAATCGATATTTTCGCACGAAGAATGTGCCTTGCGGCGTTTCTTTTTTAATTGCTTCAGTTAGATTTTTGTACAGAAAAAAACAGACGGAAATGAATCATCACTTTCATCTAACACACTTGAAATTACTTACATCGTCTTCATCATATCACTTTCATGCAATGTTGTCGTTTAACCTTGTCTCGACTTTAATTAGAGATAGTAGAAAGTACGATCAGGTATTTTTCTATCAAATGTATGACATAAGCCATGCTTTTGATAAGATATTTATTTAAAGCTTACTTTTCCTTTGTGTTTGGTATTCAGTCGAGAAAATATATACTCATCATCACCAAGGCAGTTTAACTCATTTTTTAAATTTTTTCGAGTAATCTAGAACAGCCTCTAGAAATCTTGAACGTGATACTCCTGGTAAGTGAACAAGTAATGAAAGAAGGATCTGTAGTATCCTAACAATACGGAAATAAGGCACTGATTTTTTCTGACAGAATTCGGTTTAATTTCTTCAAGGAAACATTTTGAATAATTAAAGCGTCCTTAACACTCTGCTATTCATCAACTATTAGAGAAATACCAAAATTATTTATTTTCGATAAATGGTAAATGCAAATATGATATGAATAATATTAGATGAAAATATTTTTAATTATTTTGGCATTTTGTTTCGAATGATTAGTCTCCAACCAAGCCACTTTAAACAATTGACTGTAAGAAAGAGAAGTAGAGAAATAGGTATTCGGCGAAGCGACCAATTCTTAAAGTGTCTCCAAGTTGTTGCTTTAATTAACAGTTATAAAAGTCGTAATGAACACCCCAGATATATTTTCAGAAGGATTTGTTGGCTAACTTGATTGTGTTATAGTGGAAACTGATAATAACGCTGTAAAATATACAAGACATTGCTAGAAATATTGAATGGTCAATATTTTGAAATACTGAAAATAATTCTCCAAACTGCCTGTTTTATATTGAATTCGTTTAAAAAGTGCTTTATTTTAAATTTAAAATAAGATTTCGGATTGACATTGAATGCTATGCTGAAATGGAAAATAAAGAGATCTTTTTGAATTCAACTTGATTGAATTCGTATCAGCTGTGCCACATTGAAGTCATTTTGGCCCTTACCATCAATTTGGTGTCCTAGCTCTAATGAAGAAGAAAATTCATTTACTGATCTATGAACTCTGAATGTCATAAGAAAGATTTCACTCAGTAGCTAGAAGGCGAATTCTGAAATCTGGGTATTGCCGCACAAAAAAAGTTGAAACCTATGCCAACAGTCATTTTTTCAACTTTATTTGTTTATTTCTTACCGATGCCCTTTGACTTTTCTCTAATCGCCTTTCAACGAACTCGTTCAGAATTTTCAAAAATTAATAAAAAATAATGAAAAATAGTAATTATAAATAATGTGCATTCCAATTAGTTTTGATAAGAGGTACAAGTTTCTTGGTCCATAAAAAATTCACCCTTGCCTGCCATATGTCACGGTATCGTCCATACCTTAATAAGACCTGAACGTTAATGGGAAATCAGAACTCCATGAACTGCTTTGAGGTCATGGGGAGGGAGGGGAGGGGGAGGTGAAATTTGGGACAGAGTGAGAAAATTTGCTGAGGCAGAGAGACTTGGCCTCACTGCAAAAGGGGTGGTGTTGGAGTGGGTGAAGAAATTGAAATTGCTTCTGCAAATCATTTGCTGGCGATACCAAGTCCCCTATGCTTGTAGAGCCTCTTCCCCCCCCCCCAAAACCCCCCTTCTTCGCCATCTGCATTTGGCTATCGTGGCTGACTGTTGACCTCACGCAATGTCCTCTCATTCCTTCATTCTCCCCTCATCATTCAGACCAGCATGTATGATTACGCGGTAGATTTTAGGACCACGCACTGTGTCTTTCATAACATATTGCACATGTGGGGTGTGCGATAGACTTACCTCCACGTGGTGCACTCTGGACAACGTCTACTCATACGACAAAAATGTTTATTAATCGGTATTTGACTTCTGACTTCAAGCTGCCATCACCCCACTGTATGCTATTGGGTGGGCAACTAACTCATTGGCGTTTTTGTTGACAGATTCACTCTATACTTTCTTTTGTTTTGT